ACACTTCTTTCCTTCTGCTACACATGGACCTCCACAGTCGACATCGGTCTCTCCTGGGTCCTTCTTACGATTATTACAGGTTGCGCCTATAGGAGGAAGACGAGTGTTAAATTGTTATAGACAGAAAAAGATACCTACCAGTACATCGACCTTTTGTGCAGACACCTGTTTTGCAATCTTTATGTTGGTTACACACCTTTCCATTGCTGCAATACTTTCCCTGTGCTGTACAGGGACCGCCACAATCGATATCAGTCTCATCTTGATTTTTCAACTTGTCACTGCATGTGGCAACTGTAAGTTATAAAGAAATGTTATGCACATGATATACAACAGATAGATAAAGAATTTATGTAGTTCGTGTTTATGACGGTCGAAATTTCGGTTGTAGTCAATGTTCATGTTGTACTAGTTTTGTGAGATCATGTTTTCGTGAAGTCAATTTCTCCACTGAATCATAATATTGGCGGTATATAGAGTGAAATGATTTTGATATTAGAAAGTTTGCTGAGAATATGTTTTTATAATCAAGTTTATTTTATCATTGAGTGTGAACCGGTAGATATGGGAATCGAAGAATTTATTCGTATTCTTGTATGGCTCTAGTACTCTCAAAATCACCTTTCAATGGGATTTGTTCCGCTCAAAGTTTTACATACAGGAAGTAATAATAAATTGGGATAGGCAATTGCCAACGCATTTCCGAGAAGTTCGCTGTAGAGAAATTGAAATGATTTTATTTACTTATATGATAAAGAAATCCTGTCGATCGATTTAATCGCTAGAGTTTTTCTGAGAGAGGGAATCCATTATTTGTCATAGAAACTGGTATGGGCAGTGTTTCATGTCGAGCCCGTCTTGAACATATGCCTTAAAATAAGAAAATATGATAGTTGACTTTCATTCTGTTGGTCCCACTGTTAGATTTTCAAGGGAAAGCTGGTTACGAATCAATACAATAAGACATCTATCGAACTATCATTTGATACTGGACAAGGTAAGAGTCGAAAATTGAATAGAACATACACAGATTTCTTTCGATATGCTCAGAAAGAAGTCAATAAATATTCTGCTACTGTCCTGTCTGGCTTTGGCTAAACTACGTAATTCATGATGTAAATGAATTACAAATAATTCAAATGTCACATCAAGCTTCTAAAGTATGGACCGAATGTCTAGCAAGATATATTGGGATCTATTCGAGACTACATCAAGGTTCCGTCTGCCCTTCCTTTCCCCTTCCCCCCCCCCCCCCCCCCCCCCCCCCCCCCGTGTGATTATTGGTGTATGTTTGTGTCGCGCTCCATTGCAGATTCTATTAGACTCTTGGATTTCAATCACTCTGAGGTATTTTGTTATTCATAGACATCTATCAGTGTCCTAAACAATTTCATCTGTGCCAGCATTATGCCATGATTTTTTCCTATCGTCCCGGCTAGTTTCATCATAATTTGTTCGCCATGACAGTTCATGACATCCACATATTTGAGAGCTCAATCATACTACTATTAAAACAATTAGGTTGGCCAAATTCCAAACTTTAGCGAAAATTTTCTATCAATTCTTCTACTATTAGATAGTGTGTACAAAATTAGGTTAGAAAAAAAGCTAATTTTCAAAACTCGTTTTGTATTACAAAATCGAATTACTAAGAGCATCGTGCATTTTGGAAAATTTTGCTTGGTGTCGCTCAATATCATTCATTTTTTTTCTAAGTTCCAAGCCATTTTTTCGCAATCAGCGTAGAGAACTAAGTATAGAAATCCTATCGGAGTCTATTGCATTTTTTTAAACCCATTTTGTTTCAGATCTTATGGTTCATAAACAGATATCACTACTGTACCTTTTAAAGATATCTCTTTGTTTTCCAGCATTTTTCAAATCTTCTTTTATTTGTCATTCGAATCGTCTTTCTATATGATGTCAAGCGATACCAAAGTTTTTCTTGCAGTTTTGTTCAGTTCTTTAGAAAATCGCTTTTTTTTTCCATAAAATTTTACGCAATAGAAAAGCTTCCTCTTCGAAAAACTGGTATTCACCGAAATGTGTATATCCCTATGCACATACTGCCTCAAACTGATTTTCGACTAAATCGATCCGCTTATGAGACTTCTAGAGCACTAAAAGTCTCTTTCGAATTAATTTTGTCGGTCTTTGATAAAAAAATTAATGCTAATGTCATATGTACTCAATGCGAAAAAACGAAGGTATTTCAATTTAATTTTTAAATACAGTCAACCTTAAACAGTTTTAAGAGCTAATCATTTGGATAGAAATTTTCGAAATTGATCTAACAGTTAATATGTTGGGGTCCAGATAATGATATACATAGAGAGGCGACTAAAAGTGACCGTCCACTCCCATATATCAACACTGATTTTACCCTCATTGCAATAAGATGGCGTGTTTTCTCTACTTTGTAAAGCAAGCGGAGTATCATTTTCTCTCTATGTTTACAAAATGTCACGTCAAAATATGCATCGATTCATTTATTACTGGCAAAATAATCACATAATGATTTTATTTCAAAGTTCGAAAATTATCGAGCTATTTGTTTTTTACAATTCATTATGCATTCTTTTTAAACTGGAAAAAATTCTTCATAGTATCATAGTCAAAAGAGCAAATTGTGCTCTAAAAGATGACTACGTTTAATTTTAGCTTCTCTTCTGAAAAAAGTCGAAAAAGACTAGTTTTCTAGAATATCTCACATTTGTGATCAAAGTCAATTTTCTTCTCTAATGTTCAGTTAATTTCAAATGTCAACAAGTCATAAGGAAGAACGTCAGACATTATATCAGATATAGCCTTACAACACTTGTTGTATCCCAGAAAGTTCAGCTGCTCGATACTCAACCATATCTCAATCATTCACAAGACACCTTTCATTTATTCATTTTCACATGAAAGAACATATAAGAATACCACAAAATGCTGCAAATTTGTAGTGAATTATTTTTTCTACAAAACTGTGATTGTTCGATTAAAAAGTAGTTTTATTTCTGTGATTCACATATGCTTTCTTGTTGTTAAGTATTATAGACGATAATTTGTAAATAGCCTCAGCAAGAAGTTCTACTAAGATGTCACCAAATGAACAATAAAATTCTTCTAATATCACATAACAGTAGAATGAGTATGAAATATACATGCACATGCCATTGAACATATCATTTTACAGCTCTCTATGACTAGAAATCTGAACAAAACTTCTTGCTGAGGCTATCTATCAATTATCACCTGTAATACCTAACACCAAACAATTATATGTCAGTTGTGAGAATAAAACTACTTTCTAATCCAAAAACCATAGTTTAGAAGAGTAAATAATCCTCTACTAATTTGCACCCTTTTGTAAAATCTCTATATGTTCTTTCATGTGCAAATGAATAAATGCGCACTCTCAAATATAATGCTATGAAGAGTTTTTTCAATTTACGAATTGCATAGACATTTTTAAGCTTATAATTGGTAACTTATAATGGAAAGGATTTACTGGTGGAAAAATTCTCAAAAAAAAACCGACTGCTCAAATCACGAATAACTGTCTTTTACTTAGTAAACACTTTTATTTCTAATCAAGTTCAATGTTAAAACAGACGTTTACCAAAAAAAACAGTTTCATCATGACACATGGCGGCCAGAGTTTATCGAAGTGCTAGCAAGTCGAGAATGACATTTCATAATATCTCATAAATGACTTTTAAATGGTACACGATATACTATCAAGACGTTTCTACTACATTAAAACATATGCACATTCTAATTTCTTGACTTACGAAATTCGCAGAAGTTGAGGCATTCAATATTCTTTAAATATAAGACTTAACTAGTTGATCAAACTATAGATTTGAATATGATCCCAGAACAAAATAGTAGAGCACTTGAGTTTTTTGACTTTTGTTACTAATTTAAATTCTCAAAACTGAATGACGAAAATATTCATACCAACGCATCGAAAAACTTATGGAATAAAAAGACACTTACCTTTTCGTTTATCACTGTGCGGTGACTCTAATAAAGAATCTGATGACATAGCAGTTGTTTTATTGCATCTGATCAACGTAATTTCACTGCAGCTTCCATCGTCAAATTTGAGTTCCAGCGAAATATTTGAAATATATGCAGCAATACGAGCATGGATAACAGCAACAAAATCGTCTTTGCAAGGTTTATATGTAGCACAGCTTTCTGGACAAACTATATAAATGTTCATGTCTATAATTGAACCATCAGAATCCAACTGATCACAGCTAGGTCTGAAATAGAGTTAGACAGGTATTGAGAATAAATGCACTATTTTAAAAAAATCATGCAAAATAAAGACGCACATTTCATTTTTTTCACTTTGAAGTTGACGGCGACGACGATAATCAACACTTGTTTCACTATTATGTGTCACAATAGTTCGGATACTGATCGAGCCTGATTGGATACCATAGACTACTTCTAACTAGAATTTCGTGCAATTTAATTAGTTTACGTATGCATGATAATTAATTGAAATACGATTACTTTTCGAGCAATCTCATCAGTATTGATGACTGTCGTACTCTGATCTTCGTTTGGCAACCAATTTGAGGAGAAGCTTTGCGTCATTTCGTCAAATTCTACGATATAAAGTGAATGATCAAAATGGACAGTCGTTTTTCGGAGCATTTTTGCAAAAAAACTAGGCCATTCTTTGAAAAATTTGCTCGAATATAATCGACATAGAAAAATAATGATTTACGAACGTCAAATAACATTCAATAGAAGAATAATACATTCAATCTTCTCTCTATCATTGTCATTCTAGATAGTATGCACGTATGGTTATTTCTACAAGATGATGCTTTCTTACCAAAATTTAGCAAACTTTAAAGTTCTCGATCTATCTATTTGTGGACATCACTTACTTTTACAGGTAACATCGACTCTGATGCTGTTTTCTTTCTCAGTTTCTTATAGTACTAGTGATATGTAATATTCAGCATTAAAACAACATACCAAGAAAAGTTTGATCCATCAATGGTCTGTGTTATTCAGCTCTTAGTTTTGATTTTGAGAAATTTAAGAATGGTGTTTTTATTCTCTTGTAAAAAAAATATGCCATTTTGACAACTCGGATCAAGCTCTTCGACATATGAGAACGACACTTTTCTAATTTTTTTTCGTCGAAGATCACCACTTCATCCTTCTGATCCTCAGAGATTACCTGGTGACTACTCAGTAGTTTAAAATCTATCGACATGGGAACTTTCATTCATCTTTGATCTAGAAACTAGTACATCCATATATTCTCAATTTTAATTCCATAAATTACTTAGTTACTAATGCTTTGTAAATTGTTATGTGAAATAGAAAATTTGAAAATATACAACAACAAAAGGTAGGACAAATAGTGTTGAAAAAGTGACAAAGTTTCGTACATATGAATCCTACCACGTAATTCATGGTCGAAGTTGCTCAACCGATAGCGTTAGACTTGACAGTTTTTTTCGAATACTATCGAGACAAGAGTTTGACGTGCACTTATGTAAATCGTTTGAAAAAAAAAATTTTTGTAATGTTGAGATTTTGAACTATTACAGAGAGCTCAGATGAAAATTAGTTAGTTCAAGATACTCTCTCTGAAAACTATATTTCGACTACTGTACGTATCTTTTATTTCTTATTTCGACTTTTACTCAAATATATATTTAGCAGAAAATAATTTTGAAAAGATTTATCGTAGTAATATCGGGTGTCCCAAAATGTTTGCACACATTTTATTTAGCATATATCTCAGCATGGAAAACATATAAAAATATTAAATATTTTTAAAAGACGCGCCGTGGGAAGCTCTACAAAAAATGCCGAACCAAATCCCTACTGGTACGTTCTGATGATTTTTCCTATACTTAAAATGAATACCTACATATTGGTACTACTTCCCACGGTATGGAGCACAATAAAAAGTCTTTGAAAAACTTGTTTTGTTTTACAACAGGAGTTCGTTCATTCAGCTTTTTGTAGAGCTTTCGACGGCGCATCTTTGAAAAAAATTCAAACTTTTTATCATTATTCAAAATCGAGATATATGTGAAATATTTTTATTATGCTCAGTACGATCAGAAATAGCACTACCATGTGAGTTGTTCGTTTCCAATATGGGAACAACTATCAGAACAAGTTAATAAGGATATGTTTATGCTGTTTTTATAGAGCTTTTCGTGGAGCATCTTTGAATAAAAAGTTCAAGTTTTTATCATTTTTGAAAGTCGAGTTACATGCAAAATAAAAAAAAGTTGCAAACATTTTGGATCATCTGGTAGCAACATCATGCAGGTTGTTAGTTTCAATCATCCATAAAAACTAACAAATCAAGTCAATAGGAATTTCTCCATGCAGCTTGTGTAGAGCTTTCGACAATAGAGCTTTTAAAAGAAAATTCAAGATTATATCGTTTTCTCAAGTCGAGATATATGTAAAATTAAAAAGTCTTTGAAAGACTCTTTATTATGCTGGAAAATAGCACTTATATGTGGGTGTTCATTTTGAGTATAGGAAAAATCATCAGAACATACCAGTAAGAATTTGGTTCGGCGTTGTTTGTAGATCTATCCACGGCGTTGTTTGTAGAGCTATCCACGGCGTACCTTTTAAAAAAAATTTAATATTTTTATACGTTTTCCATGTTGAGATATATGCTACATAAAATGCGTGCAAACATTTTGGGACACTCGGTATGATAAGCATCTTATAGGAGCTTCAAATGAGCACTTTGGACAAAGTTTTGAGTTTTATTTCTCTCGATCAATGAAAGTTTATCAATTGAAACTTCGCGCATAAGGAGATTCAGATTATTACTCCCACTGGTAAAACTTTGGATAATGTATTTACCTGTCTTTTTGAAGAGCAAATCCAATTAATCTCGATTTTTGACCTAATTCTATTTTACCTAAGAATACGTATTAAAAGTAACCTGCCCTACGGATGTTAGACTAGATGAAGTATTAAGCACCAAATTCACTCGATGATTACATAATGTATAACCTATCATGATATTTCAAGAAACTGATATAATTGATCTTCCAAATCACATACCAAGAATCTGCTCAATCATTCATTCATCTAAGCCATACTCTGAGCCCTTTGTTAAATGAACAGAGATTACAATTTTTAGGGTGTGACTGTGGATGGGAATAAAGCGAAGCAGAAGCCTCACGTCCACACTCTTTTCTTTACTGCAAAGAAATGTTGACAGGCTGCTTTTTAAGAGTTTACGAAAAACCGAATGGCTGTTATTAGTAACTTATGAAATAAATCTACTAAACATATCCACTCAGCCTACGCATCATGCTGTATCTATCAAAAATGCGTGAGCTTTCGATCACTGTTCACTCAAATGCAACAGAGTTTTACATTTTGCTAAGAACTGTTGCATCTTCTGTCATAATCAATTCGAATACTACCTGACGACGCAAAGGACGAAAATGAAGTCTGGACTTGACCTTTCACATTGTATATAATCAGGCTGTACATGGCAGCTGAATTATTGTCGTCTCATGGACTCCTCCCAATTATGTTTCATATGAGAGCTTCTAATGTTAAAACACAACTCAAGACTTTCAACTTGAGAGAATATGTCTGAATGTACCAATGATGTAGTGTTAAAAGAAAACGACTTGACTGTTAGTTTTCTGTTGTTAAGTTTATAGGTCTTCTCAACTGCAAAAATCATACTTTCCCATTTTTATTATTCTCTGGCCTCATCTACAGATATATTTTTGCAAAATGGTTGATTCTAAGTACGGAGTCTATTAAACGCGGTTTATATCTTTCACCATTCTACTGTAGTAACAGTAGCAAAGAATAATATGAGCACTATCTTTTCCATTACCGTTCTTAAGACATTAGGAAATATCGTTCGATTCAATATACATCTTTCATTTGATAATTTGCTTAATCTTTGCATATGAATTTTTGTATATTCTGCGGTTGACATAACACTCGTAAATCATACCTACACTCGTCCGTAGACCTTCAAACAAACAACCAATGAACGCTTGCTAAATCTATATCAGCGTTTTTTTTTTGAAGTAGCATTGCCTGACATTTTAGGACCCGATAGAAAGAACTCGAGAAGGAACTTTTACAATGATCCGATCGATCTAATCAGATCTGAAAAGTCTTACAAAATAGTCAATGGAAAGTTGTGCTCTTTCGAAATAGTTGTTCGTTATACCTAAATTTTGACTATATAGGATAATATGGCTCTAATTAGGTAATCGGAAAAAGGTGGAACGACCTTTGTTCAACGTTATTGCATTTCGAAATTTTCAGTCTTTTTGAATAACATCTTTCTGTATTGATTCGTTTCTAAATACTGTTCATAGGCTACCTAGAATATTCAACTCTCTTGAGAGCTAAATATTGCGAACATGAAAGAATTGCATTTGCTGCAACTTTTCATACACTATAACAACCGGCAAATCCTTTTTCTGAACAAAATTATAGATGACAATGGTATTATTCAATTTCTGTAAACAACTGTTACCATAGACAAAAAAAATGATAAACTGGCCATGAATCAAGAAGGAAAACCCAACTAGTTGAATGATGAATTAAGTCGTATGACAGAAAATTTTTATCATTTGCAGATTTTCCTGTGGGAGCTCATCGTTACGCTTGATACTCGATTATCCGAATGAAATATGCTTTGTAGCAATTTTATATTCACTCGAAAGGTGTACTATTTATCGTGATCTAAATAACTTCGATGTTGCAAGTCTTATGATTGATCTGTTTCGGAGGATTAATCGTTAGGCTTAATGAAATGTAACAAAATATTTTCCAAAACCCAGAAAAAGCAAATGATTAATAACAATTGAGAACGAGTGATGATCTGGATGAACCACATGAAAAAAAAACAAGCTTTTTTTATGCAAACTATACTATACCAACACATTCTATGATTCAAATGTGGGTTTGCATTATAACGGGTGGAGCAAAAGTTCTGCATTAATTTTGTTTTTGACATAGTACTATGATGGAATATCGTAGAGATTTCATTGTTTTTTGTTAGAAAGAGTGAAGTGCCTAATGCAAAAATATATGAAAGAATTTACTTGAAAATGTTTCTCAAAGGCTATACAAGTTTTAATATAAAAGACATCAGAAATGTTTTCATTTAATTATATATTTATTCGTCTCATCCCACCTGTACAATGTAGGGATTGAGCACTGTTCATGTAAAAAAAGCGACTCTATATGTTTCATAACTATCAAAATAAACAGTTTTATAATATCGTCTGGTATCAATATTTTTCATCATTGTCGATTATAGGCAAAAGAACAAAGTCTATTTAGACAGAGAGAGAGAGAAAGAGTGAGTTTGCCAGAAGCAATAAATTTTATATAAAAAGGAAACCTTATTGAGTCCTCTGCCAAACGATATTATTTGGAATAGGACACAGGTTCTCTGTGATATATTCAATCAAACATGTTTTTTGCTGTTGTACATCCCATATCCGCCAAAGTGAGCTTTTAAATCTAATTGTCTGCTGTTTATTGTCTTGTGTGCTACATCAATTATATTAGTACCACATTAAAGCCTTCATTGTAATGAACAGCTG